CTATTTTCTTGTAATTTCAAGCCTTAGTCACCAATAACTAAGTGATATTGACATGTTATGACTATTTATGAGTTCACTAGACAAGAAATGTAGGAAATAGGCATCTTAGTAGTGAAAATGGCCTTACTCGGGCCATTTTGGTTGAAAATGCGTTCTAAAACCCCACAAGTGCTATTTTCTTGTAATTTCAAGCCTTAGCCACCTATAAATAAGTGATAAAGACATGTTACGACTATTTATGAGTTCACTTGACAAGAAATGTAGTAAATAGACATCCTAGTAGTGAAAATGGCCTTACTCGGGCCATTTTGGTTGAAAATGCGTTCTAAAACCCCTTAATTGTTATTTTCTTGTAATTTCAAGCCTTGGCCACCTATAAATAAGTGATAAAGACATGTTATGACTATTTATGAGTTCACTAGACAAGAAATGTAGGAAATAGGAATCCTAGTAGTGAAAATGCACTTACTCGGGCCATTTTGGTTGAAAATGCGTTCTACAACCCCTTAATTGCTATTTTCTTGTAATTTCAAGCCTTAGTCACCAATAACTAAGTGATATTGACATGTTATGACTATTTATGAGTTCACTAGACAAGAAATGTAGGAAATAGGCATCCTAGTAGTGAAAATGGCCTTACTCGGTCCATTTTGGTTGAAAATGCGTTCTACAACCCCTTAATTGCTATTTTCTTGTAATTTCAAGCCTTAGTCACCAATAACTAAGAGATATTGACATTTTATGACTAATTATGAATTCACTAGACAAGAAATGTAGGAAATAGGCATCCTAGTAGTCAAAATGGCCTTACTCGGGCCATTTTGGTTGAAAAAGCATTCTAAAACCCCTTAATTGCTATTTTCGTGTAATTTCAAGCCTTAGTCACCAATAACAAAGTGATGAAGACATGTTATGACTATTTATGAGTTCACTAGACAAGAAATGTAGGAAATAGGCATCCTAGTAGTGAAAATGGCTTACTCGAGCCATTTTGGTTGAAAATGCGTTCTACAACCCCTTAATTGCTATTTTCTTGTAATTTCAAGCCTTGGCCACCTATAACTAAGTTATAAAGACATGTTATGACTATTTATGAGTTCACTAGACAAGAAATATAGGAAATAGGCATCCTAGTAGTGAAAAAGGCCTTACTCGGGCCATTTTGGTTGAAAAAGCGTTCTAAAACCCCTTATTTGCTATTTTCTTGTAATTTCAAGCCTTAGTCACAAATAACTAAGTGATAAAGACATGTTATGACTATTTATGAGTTCACTAGACAAGAAATGTAGGAAATAGGAATCCTAGTAGTGAAAATGGCCTTACTCGGGCCATTTTGGTTGAAAATGCGTTCTACAACCCCTTAATTGCTATTTTCTTGTAATTTCAAGCCTTAGTCACCAATAACTAAGTGATATTGACATGTTATGACTATTTATGAGTTCACTAGACAAGAAATGTAGGAAATAGACATCCTAGTAGTGAAAATGGCCTTACTCGGTCCATTTTGGTTGAAAATGCGTTCTACAACCCTTTAATTGCTATTTTCTTGTAATTTCAAGCCTTAGTCACCAATAACTAAGAGATATGACATTTTATGACTAATTATGAATTCACTAGACAAGAAATGTAGGAAATAGGCATCCTAGTAGTCAAAATGGCCTTACTCGGGCCATTTTGGTTGAAAAAGCATTCTAAAACCCCTTAATTGCTATTTTCGTGTAATTTCAAGCCTTAGTCACCAATAACTAAGTGATAAAGACATGTTATGACTATTTATGAGTTCACTAGACAAGAAATGTAGGAAATAGGCATCCTAGTAGTGAAAATGGCTTACTCGGGCCATTTTGGTTGAAAATGCGTTCTACAACCCCTTAATTGCTATTTTCTTGTAATTTCAAGCCTTAGTCACCAATAACTAAGTGATATTGACATGTTATGACTATTTATGAGTTCACTAGACAAGAAATGTAGGAAATAGGCATCTTAGTAGTTAAAATGGCCTTACTCGGGCCATTTTGGTTGAAAATGCGTTCTAAAACCCCACAAGTGCTATTTTCTTGTAATTTCAAGCCTTAGCCACCTATAAATAAGTGATAAAGACATGTTACGACTTTTTATGAGTTCACTTGACAAGAAATGTAGTAAATAGACATCCTAGTAGTGAAAATGGCCTTACTCGGGCCATTTTGGTTGAAAATGCGTTCTAAAACCCCTTAATTGCTATTTTCTTGTAATTTCAAGCCTTGGCCACCTATAAATAAGTGATAAAGACATTTTATGACTATTTATGAGTTCACTTGACAAGAAATGTAGGAAATAGGCATCCTAGTAGTGAAAATGGCCTTACTTGGGCCATTTTGGTTGAAATTGCGTTCTAAAACCCCTTAATTGCTATTTTCTTGTAATTTCAAGCCTTAGCCACCTATAAATAGGTGATGAAGACATGTTATGACTATTTATGAGTTCACTTGACAAGAAATGTAGGAAATAGGCATCCTAGTAGTCAAAATGGTCCTAGTCGGGCCATTTTGGTTCAAAATGCCTTCTAAAACCCCACGAGTGCTATTTTCTTGTAATTTCAAGCCTTAGCCACCTATAGATAAGTGATAAAGACATGTTACGATTATTTATGAGTTCACTCCTACTAACTTACGTTTTGTGTATGTATACCAAGTTTTGCAAGGGACAAACGGGAAATCCGTTCACAAGCGAGGAACTCAATGTAATTCGAGACATGTTGGCGGCCTACATCACATTTAATTTGAAAATATAATTTTGTTCTGTTTTAACTAGCTTAGTGTACTACATTATTACTAATTAATTTTGTTTGTTTGTAGTTATGACACATTTTTCTAATTAATATCATATTTTGGGATTGTTATCAATATTTATGTCCTTATTATTTTCAATTATTATTATTATTAATATATTAATAATACTAATTATTATTAATATTATAATAATAATAATCAATATATACATATATATATATATGTATATATATATATGTACATATATATATGTATATATATATATATATATACATGTTATAGGAAAAATTGTCAAAAATAATACAAACTTTGAGCGGTCCACTAGAAACAAGTTAAATTTTTAATTATTTGTAAATAATACAAACTTTGGGAGGTTTCTGCTTTAAACAAGATATTTAACCTGTAACCTTAATGACCGGTTAATTTTTTGTTTTTAATAATTTCATTTAATAGTTTAATTAACTATTAATTACAACTTTAATTATGTTTAACAATTAAAATAATTTTTTTTTAAAAAAAACCATCCCCTACCCACCTCCCCCACTAGCCACCACTACCAGCCCTGCCACCCCTTTCCTTTCCCTTTCCCCGACGCCTTGGCAGCAGTCCGCTTCTCTGCCCTCCGGCGCCAGCCGCGCCCGCACACACCGTCTCCCGGCTCCGACACTAACCCCCTCCTCCTCGTCACGCATTCCCCTCAACAACCCCGACCATTTCCCCGAAATCTCCCTCCTTCCCCACGAAACCCCTTGAAACTATCCCCACACCACTAAAAAACCTTAACCGGACCTTCCCCACCATCTCTAGGGTTCCGATTAGAGTTTTTGAAGGTGGGAGATGGGTTTTAGGGGATTTTGTACATGGAGGAATGGTGGTTTCGGGGAGAGTTGGTGGTTAGGGGGAATAGGGAAGGGGGCGACGCGGGACAGGGGGAGTGGGGTCGGCGCCGGTTAAATATCTTGTTTAAAGCGGAAACCTCCCAAAGTTTGTATTATTTACATATAATCAAAAGTTTGACTTGTTTTTAGAGGATCGGTCAAAGTTTTTATTAATTTTGACAATTTTTCCTATATAATAAGGGTTTGTAAGAAAATTTAGATGGGTAAGGATGTCGATCGGACGGTAAAGAATATGAGAAGATGTGTTGACACGGATTGATGACATGGCATTAGTAGGTAAATAGTAGAAACACACATTAGTTAATACATTAGTGGGTAAAGAGTAGAAACACAGATTGATGACATGACATTTGTGTGATGTGGGTCATTTTTTCATTAATTTATGAACCTTACTGATTATTTTACTTCTGAACTTTTTTGTTTTTTTTTTGTTTATTTATTTATTTATCTTTTTGATAAGTAAGTCTATCCATTAATACTCTGTAAAATTTTACTCGATTTTTGACACTATTCACAATTTCACATCCCAAAAAATGCAAATGTCGACCAATTAATTGATTCAAAATACCCAGATTAACTGTCTAAATCTAAATCAGAAGACATAATAAAATACAACGAAATGAGCATTCAGAAATCATAAAGCATAGAACCCAACAAACTATACTCAATCAAATAGAAAAATACGAAAATAGATAAAAACCCAAATCAACAAAGTAAGGACTCATCGAAAAGTAAATGAGAAAAAAATGGCAGGAAATCGAATTGAATGAGTTGGTGCGTCTTTGCAGAAATTTGTCAAGGTGATGCAGAACAAAAACGGATGATCGTTTAAAGGACTAAAAGGAGTTATGAATTTATGATGAGTTGACAGTATTGAAATAAACATAATTACAAACAACATATTTAATTCTTCAAAAACGCATATACAGGTCATAAAAACACCAACATCAATTAAATTCATGGTACATTGAAGTATTGAACAATAAACAAACAAAACCTAAATTCTTGATTTGCTTAATTACTTATGTAATTAACAAAAGATAAAGAGAATTAGAGAAGTTCCAAAGGATATCGTGTCTGATAGAGATTTTAGGTTTCTTTCAAAGTTCTGTAATAGTGTGCAGGAAAACTTTGGTACTACACTTAAGATGAGTACAACATTTTACCCTGCCACAGATGAGCAAACTGAAAGAACCATTCAAACCTTGGAAGACATGTTGAGGGCTTGTGTTATAGATTTGCTATGGGGATGGGAAGGTAGCTTGGATTTAAATATAGCTTGGATTTAATTGAATTCTCCTACAATAATAGCTACCATGCAAGTATTGGCATGGCTCCATTTGAGGCATTATATGGAAGGAAGTGGCGTAGTCCAATCTGTTGGAACGACATAAGTGAAACAATGATTTTAGGGCCTACAGTTAAGCAAGTAAAGGAAATTCAAGCTAAGATTCAGGCGGCGCAAGATCGCCAAAAGAGTTACGCGGGTTTGAAGCGTAGAGAGGAGGAATTTGAGGTTGGTGACAAAGTTTTATTAAAGGTGTCACCAATGAAAGGTGTAAAGAGATTTGGAAAGAAAGGAAAGCTTAAACCAAAGTATATTGGTCCATATGAAGTATTGATAAGGGTAGGCAAAGTAGCTTACAAGCTAGTCTTACCTATGGAGCTAAGTAAAGTGCATGATGTATTTCATGTGTCTCAGTTAAGAAGGTATATCCCTGATAAGTCACATGTACTACAACCTGAAACTATTGAGTTAGATCAAATCTTAACTTATGAGAAAAAACCTGTTAAGATCCTTGACTATAAAGTGCGTAGTACACGCAATAAGGAAGTTAAGATTGTGAAAGTGCTATGGTTTAACCAAGAGTATGAAGATGCAACTTAGGAAGCCGAGGATGAGATGAAAAAGAAGTATCCCGAGTTGTTTGAGGTATGTTGAGTTACGGGGACGTAACTCGTGCTCTTTAAGGGGGGTAGAATGCGGTAGAATTTCGCGCTTTCTCCCTTTATTTTCAGTTATTTTTGTGCTTTTTGCACATTTTTAACGGTTATCTTGAGTAATTTTGATCTCAAAGAGATGTTAAAGGCAGAAGTATGACAAAAGAGTACAGCAATATTACACAAAGTGAGGAAAAAGTTTGAATTTCGTTGTCCAAGTTTCGGGACGAAACTTCTTTTAAGGGGGGTAGACTGTAATACCCCGTATTTTTATATGTATTTCTAATTTAATAGAGTATTTCCTAAAATATTTAAATAATTCGAAATGAATTATTTAGGGTTTTCATGAATTTAAAAAGAATGATTTTGATTAAAGGTATATTTTAATTATTAAATAATCTTGAAAATATTTTATTTCATGATTTAAAGATATTGGGGCATATTATTTTATAAAAGATAATTTTTAAAGTCAATGGTATTTATCAAAAGTCAAAATACAAGTTTGATTAAGAAATGGATCATTAAGATAGTAAAGGATTTTTAAGTAAGGAGGGATATTGAGAGGGGGTATAAATATCCATCATATGCCTAAGGTGGAGTGCACCCAAAGATAAATTCTCTCTCTCCTCTTATTTTCTTTTCTCCTTAATTTTTCCCTTCCCCTTTATTTTTAATTTTAATGTTTTAATCATGTTTAGATTCTAACTCGTCCGATTTTTACAAAAAAAATAGTGTTTTTCGTGTGCAAACACCCTCTCGTGGCCAAATTCAGCCTCTAAATATGGTTTTCGGGCAGTTTTTAATTTTTAACCAAGGTTTAATGTTTTAATATAATTTTCAGATTTAGTTTTTAATTAAAAAGCCCCAAATTGAAAACCCTAGGTTTCTAAATTAATGAATATTGATGGAATTGGATTGTGGGTGATTTAAACTATTGAAATTAATGTTTTTAAACATAATTACAACAATTTTTATGGTATAATAAAGCTGGAATTTTTATATTAAGGTTATAATTAGGGTTCTTGAAAGGATTTTTAATTACCCATTAATTGGGAATAAAAGTAAGGGTTTCAAATAAAATTTCAGTTTATTTTAGAGGGTTTATGAGTGATTTAAAGAGTGTATATATTGCTGGAAATTTATGTGAAAGAGGTATTAATACTTCTTTATTATTTTGGTTTGTAAGAGACTTCTAAGTGAGTGATTTTATTTATTCGTGGCGATTTTGAGATCATATTCAAGGTGCGTTCGCGTACTTGGTAATGCTTAAGTGTACAGAAGCATGCTAGACTTTGTTTAATTAATTCCATGTAGTATCATGATAGGTGTTGGATGGAATGTGTTGATTGGATTGATGTTGGTGAATGATTTGTGATGTATGAATTGTTCATGATGAATTGGTGATTGGAATTAATTATATTGGCATGTTGGATATGAACCACACTTTTATTGTTGTCATTTTAGAGAGCATGTGTTAATTAAACTAAATGTTTAATTTGGTTTGGAATATAAAAAGGGAATTTATGATGGTTCATATAATTTTAATTGATGCTATAAGCATGAGGAAGTAGCTATGTAAGTGTCTTAGTACACAGGAATATATTATATTGCGGTGCCTATGTGCACTTAAGGTGTTTCTAACACCGAGGGATAGGATTTGCGGTGTCTTATGCACTTAAGGTGTTATTTAACACTGAGGAAGTTTAAAAAGGGTTCAACTTTAAATTTATGTGGTCACTAACTATTCAAGAATTAAATTGGTATGTTTGATTGCTTGAATGAGTTGTAATGTTTGATTTGTGTTGTGTTTGAGAGTCATCACCAAGTCTAATAATTTATAAATAACGTAAAGTGAAAAAGATTACGCACCAAAACTCTTGGAACGTATATACCTTGAGTATGAACATATGGGGGGAGTTATGCGACTTTATATTTGACCATAACTTCTACTAGGAGTACAGGACGATGTATTTTCCTTTTTATTATTTATTATGCGCAGGACGTCCAGTCACTTCATGTGACATTTGCCTACCCGGTTAGCTCCCGGTGTAGTTTACCTCAATTTATTGAGGCAAGTAGTTGGTTAGAAACCCGTTCGATGCGTAATCAAATTAAATGAACATTAGTATTTGTCTAGTTAGGTGTTGAGTGTCTTGTATGCTTGTGAATAGGTGCAACAAGGTAAGTTGTGTGTTGATAGTAAGAAAGCATGTTAGTGTGTTTTATTACGCTTGTGTGTTTGCATGTTTGTTTGGCCTTGTCTTTACCTTGGCCCTACGACGACCCATTCCTAATGGCGAGTAGTGGGGACAAGTAGAGAGGAGCTTTTCAGGTGATGAAGCATTTGCATGATGAGGATGAGTGAAGAGCTAATCATGCTTAGTTTCCTATAGGAATGTGATATGTTCAATTGCTTTAAATATTATATTTATTGTGTTGACGAGACTAATGCGAAAGTTTTAAAATATTGGTTTGGTTTTAAGGGCGTACAATGGTTCCAAGTTGTAGGTTGACTTTGGTTGACTTATTTTGACTTTACTTTCTTTGTTTGACTTTTTAAGATGTTGACTTGTTTTAAATGGTTTTTAAAAGTAGTCTTCCGCTGTGTGTCTTTGATATTTGCCTTAGCCGTTTTCACGGTGGCGGTAATGTCTTACATTTTCCTATTTCGTATTTTTAAAAGGGCACTCCCCTTCCACCCTTTCCCTTTCACCGGCGACCCCAAACCATCCCTGAAACCAAAACCCGACCCAACCTCTCCCCTTCCCCTCCCTGAAATGATCTCCTTGGCATCAGATCGGCTACACCCTTACCCCGACACCGCCGCCGACCAAGCCCAAATCCTAAATCTAACCATAAAACCCACGATCAGTATCAAGTTTGGGTATAGGGAGGGGCTGGGGGATTGTAGCGGCGAGGTGTAATACTCCGTATTTTTATGTATTTTTATAAATTATTTAATTAATTATAAAACATATTTTTAAGTGTTCAAGTATTTTAATTAAATGTTTAAACGACTAATGTATTTAAATTATTGAGTTTTATAAAAAATAAAATATATTTTGGGCTAAACGTTTATTAATTGTTTGGCCTCGTTTAAATTATAGTATGTATATAATCCTTACATACTCCTAGTGGACCAACCCGTTTCAATTAAGTAAGCCCAATACTTTTATTTGAACCTTTGTGGGTCAAATATTTCATGACTAAAGTCCATTTATTTATTAAGCCGAAACCCAATCTCTTTTCTCTACTCTATAAATATCCCCTAAAACCCCAAAATTTTCCCACATAAGAGATCAAAAATCAGATTTTCGGGGGTAAATAAGCTTTTCTTTCTTTTCCCTTAAATTTTTTTTCTTCTTTTCTTTTCTTTTCTTCTTTTTCTTATTTCTTCTTTCTTTCTTTGTTGCTTGATACGGGTCGTTTACCGTATAAAATTAATTATTTTATTTACCTAACTTATCCTCCAAAAATATTAACAACTAGTAAAAAGGGTAAGTAAGGGTCGATCCCACGAGGAGATTAATCAACTCTTAAAACTTAAAGTCTAACTCGAAAAATAAACCATATACATAATAGAGTATTATTCACAATATGTACATGAGATTGGGGGGGTTAAATCGAACGAGTAACTAAACCAAACAAGATAAGAAAATATACTAATCTATTATTTACAATAGACGACAAGCAAACCACCAATGTGATACCAATTCGATCATAGATTAAAACGACATAACTTATTTCCCAACTTCCTTTCATGGTATGTCATGTGGTAGAGACGGTTTACGTGCTCAACACCTTATGGATTGCTTGAGTGGTGCTGCAGTTGCTATTTCGGATGAGTTGGTAGACTCTATTATGCAGGTGGTTAATCTCTTTCTCGCTGGGAAATATCCTGCTAAGTTGGGAGAATACATTACTAGTGCTCCTCTTACGCCACTTGTTAAGCCTAGTGGTGGTATTCGGCCTATTGTTGTGGGTACTGAAAGGAATGGTGTCCTTCCAACAAGTGTATTATTTTGATAGAGGGTTCAGAATTATTACAGAGCTAATTCTTCAGTAAGGTCAAGTGATCGGAATGCCTAGGTGGAGGCCGCTTCCGATCAGTAATATTAAGGTACAATTAATATTACAGCTTAATCTTAACTGAACCCTTAGGGTCGAACCCAATCGAACAACCGAACCAAGACGACGAATCAATCCGAGGATTTAATGAGTCGTCGGAGTTTTACCAACAAAGACGTCGGATATCGAGCCTAGGGCGTCGAGGCCGAGCGTCGCAAAATCACAAGAAACAAGTACGAGCATAGCCGTAGCTAGGCTAGGCTAGCTCATCGCAAGCCTAGGTGCACCATGGTGTGCTAGCGCGCCATGCGTGCTAGGCGCACTAGCCTGTCCATCGCAGCACCACCTGCGTGTGTGCGTGCCTTCGCATGGCACAGCAGCACTACAGCGTGCGTGCATGGGTGCCTAGGCACTATCGCAGCACCATCGCAACATCGCAGTGTTGGGCACTTGTGTGTGTGCGTGTCTAGCACCATCGCCAAGCATTAAGCCATCCAGCATGCGTGGCTCGCTAGCAGCACGCATGCTGGGCCTTGCGTGTGTGTGTCTCGCATCATCGCACAACACCATCGCAATGCCAGGCGCTTGCGTGCGTGCGTGTGCATGTGCACCATCGCCCAGCACCAAGCCCCAGCATGTGTGGGTCGCTAGCAGCACGCATGCTAGGCCTTGCGTGCGTGAGTGCGCTGGTTGGGCTATGCGTATGATGGCCTGGCTGTGCGTAGGCATGCGAGTGGACGTGCGAGTGCCTGGGAGTGCTAGTGCGTGCCAGGGCCAGCACCAGCGCCAGCAGCGAGTAGCGCCTAGCACTAGCACGTAGCAGTAGCAGCACAAGCATCGCCAAACGCCAGCACGCATATGCTGGCTGGGATGCGAGAC